TTGTTTTTTTTTTGACTGCACATCATATCTCAGATTGAAAAATTGGTTCTTGCCAAGTTGCATGTGGAAAGGAAGAACTGCATTTAAGACTGCATTCCCACAGATTTAGATCGATCCATCTGGATCGTCCTAACTCCCTTAGGGTTCATGCTAAATTGCTGTCCGTAAGCCGAAGCTTCCGTAAGCCGAACGTGCACAAAAGTTAATTACCCCCTTGCCGCTTTCAGTAGGCGAGACAGACATTTAAGACGGTTAGATGACAGCAATCTAGTGAGACTCCCCAGGGGAATAGATCGATTTAAATATCTGTGGGAATGGTTTCTTAGTTTTATGTTAAAAGTAAGAATAGGCCATTTATAGTAGTGAGTTAAACTATTCTCCTGAATAAAAACTGGCTAACACTGCCAATACAAGTCCACTGGTGAATAATCTGCAATAAGTGTCATCACCTTCCTATTATAACCTACTTTAAAAATGCTTTAATGAATTTTCACTAAAAACCCAAGAGTATGCTGAAGGAGAGATTGTAATAGTTTGCCCACCATCTGTTTAAATGTTTATAAGAAGTGAGAGTATTTATCAATATTTGATTTTATGGTGTTGATGTGTTTACCTGTAATGTACAATAGAATGAGCATACTTCTGTTCCCCTCCCTCCCCAGCCCCCTTTAAAGACATATCTGACTTCAGTGCTGCTACCGTAGATGAATTCTCAGCTTGACAATTGGGCCTTAAAAGTGACAGTGGGGATTGTGCTTAGATGAAAAAGACATGGTTATGTAAGGAATTAGTTGCTATTATGCTATACATGTGGCTTTCTCTTCCTTCAATATGCGTGTTATAGTATAAACAGAGAAAAGACTGAAAAGATTGTCCCAAACAGCTGAAAACCAGACCACAAGGGCAAAGTAGCACATGCTTCACTGTATCAGAAATGTCGGAAAGTGGGTGTAGCTACCCTATGTATAACAGGGCTGCTGGTTGAAAGATACAGCTGCCTGCTGCTGTGATATTGAGAATCTGCATTGGGACTTATATTAGTTCACAGTGTGTATCAGGGTCAGGACCCAAGCCCCTTGTCCATGCTGTGAGTTCTGACATGTTGAGATGACTGATTAGACATGGCATCCCAGTTCACTGTATGAGAGGAAATGGCCTGCTTCCCATGCTTTAAGGCTGAAGTGACCAGCAAAGTTCAAATTTCTCTTTTCTTTCTTTTCTTCTAGCTCTTTTTTTATCAATGCTCCTTTTCATTGTTGTGTTGGTGTTAAATGCCAACGTGCTTTGAATGATATGAAATAAGAATAGCTTATTTTCAGTGTGGGTTTCTAGCACAATCAATTGATTGATATTCCATATATTTCTTCTGTAACTACTAATAAAGCATAATATATTTCAACTATTGAATCCTCCCTTCCCTCAGTCAAGATGGGTTAAATTCATGCTTCCTGTCTCTTATGTCCGAGGTGCATTCCATGTGTAAGGCGTGACCATTGTGTCAACAAAATTAAGAAGTTTGTTTAGAAGTCTGGTACAAAGTCATTATTGCTTGGTTGACTTGTTTGGTCAAAGAGGGCTTCATGGATTAAGAACTGCTTAGTCATTTTTGTAAAATACCAGGGTATGAGCAATAATACTAGAATTCATCAGTGGTATTTTTGGTTGGGTATTTGTTATAATAGTTAAGTCATGGCTCAACTGTATTGAAAAAAACCAGAATGGTCAGTGGTTTGCCAATAGGGGGACAACGCCTCTCTCTTAGCCATTTTATTATGTTTTTACTTTTGAATACAGTCTTTAGACATTTTGTATAAAAGTTTTAATTTTTTACAAGAAAAATAATTATATTATCCTAAATATTCATTTAGTTCAATTTCAATGTGACTAAGGATTTTACTTTTATGAGTTTTTTTGTTTCATTTTCACATCCATCTGAACTAACCTATGATCATGGGTGTGTTAGAGCATAAAATTTAGATTCACCTCTTTCATTGTGAAAGGACCTTTCAGTAGTATGCAGTCAGTGACAAAACCTGTGGAATCAGGGTTAAGTGCCCCAGAATAGAGACTGCTGTAGTGGAACATAATGCTGTAATGTGTTGACAGAGTCAAAGAGTGCATAGTATCTTGTTGGTCTATTAAACCACCCTTACTGAAATTGATTTTTTTCTCTCTTTCTCTCTCTCTCTCTCTCTCTCACACACACACACACACACACACACACACACACACACACACACCTTCAAATAACATTATCAGCAAAGAAAACTTTTGGTCTACTTTCACACTCACACCAAAAGTGGACAATTTGATTTGCTTCTATTATGTCTAATTAATTCTCTACCTGGCCAGTTAGTCACCAGGTTAATGCCACTGGTAGATGATTGATTTATTGCCTGTGTTGTAAACATGACAGAAACATTCAGAAAACACTTGAAGTCTTCTGATAAAGCTACTGTATTTTGACTTGAGATTGTATGCAGACATACCTTCCAGCATTTTTGCTGATTTGAATAATAAAAATAAGTGTCATTCTTTTACTGAAAAAAATACATATAAAGGATCAGATCTATGGAGTTTACTGCCATGTTTTTCAATTGAATGACTGAATATTATTATTGTTGTTGCTGTTGTTGCAAATAAATAGTTTTAAATTAATTTATGGTTTCACACAGAAAATATAGGAAAGTCATTGATTCTTTTTTGGTTTTAGGTCTGTTAGGGGATATTATTTAAATAATTCTTTTGAGAAGAAACTCAAAAGGACTTGAAACTGTAGCTAACACATTGTCTACTTCCACTGAATGTCAGAAGGTAATGTTTAAGTTAAATTTTTTGTTTGAGACATAGTCAGAAATATTTAAGATATACGTAGGTGCATTTATTGAAAGTTGTCTTTTTTAATGAAATCAATATTATAATTGTCTGTATTTTAGGCTCAAGCAAAGTTTGACATGGACCAGGCATTGGAGGCTCTAGCCTGGATAGAGGCAGTGACAGGGAGACCCCTGTTGGAGAATGGGATGTCTTACAAGGACCAGTTTGAGGTGATGCAGGTGTTGAAAGATGGAGAGGCATTATGCGAGTAAGAAGTTTTATTTTTTTTTTCTTTTAGGTTATGCTTTTTACCTTTGAGAAAACTGTTAAAAGGAAGTTTATTGTGTGTATTCTTTAACTTAAACAAGTGGAAGTGGGGAATGTTTTTGTGATTGCTGTTCATTTGTAAGTACTTTTTATTTTGTTTTGGTAGTTTTAAATATTTTTTTACTAACCTCATGAGGGCCATGGGGAAGATAAGTTATAGATTTACCATTCTCTACCCTTATTTAATAAAGTTAAATAAATAAAAATAACTAATAGAGTAGCAACAAAGTTATAGAAATTTCAGATTGTCAAATTTTAGTAGTGTGAATATAAAAAAGCATGCCTGCCAACTGAGCAAAGATTGATGAATGTCCAGGGTGGCATTCTTGATAACTTGTTCGTTGGGTCAAGTGGGAGTCAATGTTACATCAAGTCCTCTGTCATTGTGCCCCACATAAGCTGTCTTTTCAAGTTGAACACACTTCTTCACAGTGTTCCAGTCTTTAGTCCACAAGCTCCACTTCACAAAACAGTAGTTGTCCTTAACATCAAGGCTAAAAAATCAAGTCTGCTTTGTTCCTGGCTGCAGTCTTAGTCTATAGCAACCTAGAAACTATTCATTGAAACAAATAGCAATTTCTTACTTTTTGTGGAAGAGATCCATGTAACTCATTTATGTAGACTACTACTGATTTATCCAGGGTCAAAGTGGTATAAAATTAAAGACCAACTATTGACTTATGTTCTTTTGTGAAACAGGGTCCAGGGGTCTCAAAGTCTGTGACCACTGTGCTTTGGAATGAAGTGGGACTGTCAAGTAAAGCAGAGCTGATAAAAACTGAGATTTTAGCATTGATTTTGAAGACTGTAATTAGTTGTAATGGCCAGCAAGTGGTTCAAGTGTAAAATGTAACCTCAGTTTATGATTACAAAAAAACATTGATGTATGAAAGCAGCAATTGCTCCTCCTCCTCATCATCATCATCCTGAGGAGGAGCTTAGTGAAATATAAACCTTGTTGGTTTGACAGACTGAAAGTGTTAAGTAAATATCCACATCACTTGCACTGCCCATGTCATCAATAGGCATATAACTCAGTAGAATGCTCACTGTTATGGATCTGCATATTTTCTATTGTAGGCTGGTAAATGCAATTGCACCAGGAATTGTCAAGAAAATCAACAGGAGTAAGCTGGCATTCAAACAGGTAAAATACTGGTCTGTGGACTGCCCATTCACATACCGTCACCACCCAGAAGGATTACACTTCCCTTGGTTGACTGGTACTGTCTGTGTATCAGTGTCCGAATGCAGGATGACTGAGCAAAATAAAAACCCCAGGTTGCACTGCATTTCCCCATTGATATTTGACAAATGCAATGAGTAGGATAAATTATTGAAATTTGACATGATTTTTGTTTCCATACATTTATGCCATTTTTATCCTCCTTTCTGGATGGAGAATTTTTAGGTTTTAATGAAGATTGTCAGAATGTTGTGATCATGAATTGAATGTAAGATATATATTGATAGATTACCTTAATATGGATCACGTTATGCATCTGGGATGTGTTATTGATTGCTGTTGGTCCAAATGTCTCTTCAACTCAGAAAATATTCGGCTAAATATTTGTAACACACCTAAGTTAGATATTTCAAATCCTTTGAGTTATTTCTCAAAATGTTTATGCTGTCTGTTCAATTTTGGCAAGAGGTATGCTAATAATGCAACCATATTGATTTAACAAAGCTGTCCACGTCTGGAATTTTATCAGCACTTAAAAGAAGATACAATTTTGTCTATCTTTTCAATATGTACACAGAGGGGGCTAAACATATTTGTATACCTAATCTTAATAATCCAAAGTAACTACACTCCCCTTGACAGGTAACTGTGTACAAAGAGTAATTTACAAGCAATGTTTTGTCTGTCTCAGAAGACTTGTTAAGGAAACAAGTGGCCATTATTTATTGAAAAATATCCAAATAATACATTGCAGAGTTTCGGTATACAGATGTTGTGCAGATTGTTTTATAATATAAAATGGTATTAAGTGATTGTAAATGTTTTTTTTTTCAGATGGAAAATATAGAACTATTCCTCACAGCTTGCAAACAGCTTGGTATGAAGGATGTAGATGTTTTTCAAACACAAGATTTATATGAGGGCAAAAACATGTATATTGTAAGTAAAATCAATAAATGGGAAAAGGCCTTAATCTTGATAAATGTCAGACACTCAGTGACTTCAGATATAACTACAGGGTAGCCAGAATATTATATAAAAGAGAAATTGATACCTATGTGGGTCCATTTGTATTCTTTTTTAATATTAGAAAGATGGGTGGGTCATATAGATATCCCAGAGGTCGTGCTTGAATAAGTGTCAAAAATGGCTTCAAGTGGACACTTAGTAAAAAGCTAGTCTAGTGCCCTATGGTGAAGGAAATGTGAGCCTGCACTCAGTGGGGGACTTATTCTTATGTGATTGCCCATTTCTTCAGTTCCTATTCAGCCGAACTCCACAGATACCTGTAATGATTTCCCCTATTGTTAGACTGCTGCTCTAGGGCTGAAGTGATTCACCCTATCCTGGTAGTGTTGTGTAATGGGCATAGTGATTATAACAGGGGAGAGGGGCAAGGAACTACCTACTTATGTTAAGCTTGCACTTTAACATGTAAACACATAAATAAATTTAAGAACTTTACACTTGTCAAGCTTGACAGACTGCCCCTTGAAACCTATTGCAAATTGGACCCCTTTTGAAAACATAATGCCAGGTAACTGAATAACATTTTTCAAATTTTGAGCAATTACTCATAACTGTGAAAATTTTGCATCTGCCTCCAATAGCCTCTTTTGTTTTTTAAGTTAAACATAGTTTTATTAACTGTACTGTACTGAGATATCCCCTATTTTTGTTGTATGCATGATTTAACCAAGGAATTAGCTATTTAATCCCTAATATGGCTCTCTTAAAGACTGGCAAAAGCTTCTGGGCATTATATATCAACTAGAAAACATTTAATTAAGCTTCAAGGTCCTCTAACCCAAACCAAAGCCAAATTCTATACATTGGGTATAGATTTTGTTAATGATGTGGGCCAACAAATTCAGTTTTAGAACGCTTAACCAGAGGCCACCTGGGTGATGAGGTCGTTTCTGAAATTTTGTGTAAAAAATTCTCAGAGAAATTCACACAGAATATCAATGAATATCTACTAGTGAAAAGTTTTTCTGTGGCCCTGGTAGGGGCTACAGTTTTTGATGGTATGGAGAAATGGACTCATGATTTCTACTGGTAGATGATGTGGGCAATTTGACTGGTATGTTGCATGTTTTAAAAATACAGATGATTTAAAGTTTCCAATAAATTTATAATCGTCGACCTGTCTCACCCCTCCCACCAAGCCTGTAGACACACGCTGCAAAAACATGATACCAACAGTTTTCAGGGTTAAAAGTTCAATATTTTTTTCATTGCCCAATTTGGTTTCCTGGCTAACAGTAACTTATACTTTTAATCAAATGAATTTAACAGCTGGACTGTAACATTAGGTAGCTGAGCTGGTATTGTAATATACCTTGGCTAACAAGCTTGTGTATATATCTTTACCTCAGTAACTGATTTCAATCAGGATTTTTTCTTTTTGTTTCTTTGTGTTTGTTTGGGTGGATTTTACACAGCTACATGTAACAGCATGAAAATTGTCTTTTGGTTCATCAAAAGGTGAAAAAAAAATCATTAAATGATGTTTAGATACTATTTTGTGACTGCCACACACACAGCAGAAGGACAAAATTAAACCTTTTCACAGTCCATGTTACTGTCTTTAGTCTTGTGTGCATGATTATTAAATTTTCCCACTTGTCATATTTGAAGGTCACAGGCTAAACTTTTGTGCCACAGGTCACATTAATGTCAGTCTCACTGAAGTTCATTGATATTAGTGAAGCAAATGGAAGAAACCTTTGGGAAACCACAAGCAACCAAAGTTAATGAAAACTTTAGAATGGTGTGATTTTTTTTCTCTTTTTCATTAAAGGACCACACGGTTGTAAGGTTCTTAAGTTCAATGGTCAGATTAAATTCCCATTAAGTGCATTCAGCTCTGCTGCCCTAAGTCTTCTGCTTAGCTTTCTACAGTCAGTGATCTGCGGAGCTTTTGTTACCAACCTTTCTTGCCTATCACCCTGACCTTCAGATCACTGTTAACAATTTGCCTTCACCTACCCAGGCTCTACCCTACCAATCAGCACCAGAAAGGACATAATAGGTACTGGGTATATGGATGATAGATGTAAATTCCAGAAGACTTAAACTCAGGGCGACAGAAACATTCACCATTGACTTTGCCACCGCATGCTCAGTAAATGTCTTGTGGGTTATTTTCAACCTTGAGGGGATAAGCCATTGATAAATTGAAGTTAATTGTTATTAAATTGGATAATATTGATGATAATTGCATAATTAATGTATTTTCTTTTGATTTTTAGGTAATAAACTGCATTCACATATTAGGATCATTGGTAAGTTGAAAGACATTCTTTTTGCTTACTTTGAATAGCACAGAGTGACTTTTCAGCATTTGTTTTTATTGTCTGATATCACCTCCTTAAGGGAATTTGATACATATACTGCACATAGTGATATTGATTGGGTTTGAGGTGAACTGTATTATGAATTATTTATCATTCATCCACATGAGCAGTTAATTGCATCATCTAATTTCCCATTGGCATGCTGTGATAAATTGTGTACATAGTTAAGCTTGAACTATTTTGAGATCATTTAAAATTTGAATGGCATGTAACCTAAACCGAAACGTTGAAAATGCCTTGAAAATGCCAGCGATATCTGAAATTGTTATTTTATTTTTCTTTTAAGGCACAGAAGCATGATTTCCAGGGTCCAGTCATTGGAGTAAAATTAGCAGATATGAATAAGAGAAACTTTGGGGAAGAAAAATTAAAAGCTGGACAACATGTTATTGGACTGCAAATGGGAACAAACAAAGGAGCTTCCCAAGCTGGGATGACAGCATATGGGATGACAAGGCACATGTGACACTGGAAATGTAGGGCAAAAAAATATATATATACTGAGACAGTGCATTTTGTGACTGGGACAGGTCATTTTGTAAGGAGTTGCATGCCTGTTTTAGCTGTAGGACTGAAGACCAAGGGGAGCAGAGGAGAAAATATCAGATTTATTTCAGTGGATATTTATATTTTATTGTAGTGAATGCAACTGTTACCTCAAACAGGGTGCTTCAGGATAGAGAGTTTTTTTATTTAGCATCTTTAAGTTGCAAACACAGGTGTGCATTTTACTCAACACCTGAGCATTTTTATTAAGATAACCGTAAATTTGAAAGATGAGGCTGAAGCAAAAGGGCAATATGTTAGTTGACCATGCACAGCTGTCAAGGTACGACCTTGTCTTCTGGTATAAATGCAGACAAGTCATGAGTTCAGAAGTGAGTTGACTCTTTACTTATACTCACATATGCTCTTCTACTTAAAACAGTCAGTAGTTTTTGATTGCATATATTGCTCTTATTCATGTTTGACACAGTATCAGTGGTCACAATATTACTTGGATTCCTTAGAGCGCATTCTCAACGAATTAAGCCAGGCTTTACAAAGCCGGTGACCTAAAAATGGCGGACGTACATGAAAGAAAAACCGCCTAATCTTTTAATAGTCTCTCCGCCTCTCACACGCCTCCCCACACGTCGTCCCTGCGGGGTACAGTAATTAAATCGCGTCTCCGTTCGCCATGCGGAAGCTACCTGAGAAATATTAAGTGNTTTTTAAAAAGTGTTGGTGTTTTTTTTTCTTTATCCGTCCGCCATTTTTAGGTCACCGGCTTTGTAAAGCCTGGCTTAATTCGTTGAGAATGCGCTCTAAGTCAAGCATAAAGCTTTCATGTAATTCACGTAATATAAAAATAACTTTTTTTCATGACCAGTTTCCATTAAGAGGTTAAAGCTGGTGCGTAAAGGGCTAGGTCAAGTTATTAGTAGAACAAGGTCACATGCAGTTATTATTATCCTCATTGTTATTTGATAACAACAACAATTAACACCATATTTTAGTAATGTGTTTTCTGCTACTAAGCCAAACATGTTGCTAAGGATTTCACCTTCTATAAATGAACCATGAATTGGTAACTTTTAATTTAATTAAGTTAAGATCTGTATTGCCTTTTAGACTTAAGCATTTACCATTTACATATTGTAAAGAAAAATATTTATTAGTAGTTTGAGTTAACATCTCTCATAAAGAATAGTGCATGTTATTGTTATTAATGTAACTGAAGATTATTACATTTTAAGTCTTACCCCAAACTACTGTTGTAATTAAAAACTTGCAAGTATTGTTGTAGCAGGTTAAGTTGCATTGCTATCAATTATGCTAATGGTGAACAAATAAATTTTGTACAAGTACAAAGTAACATCATTTGAACATAAAAAAGCCTTCTATATTTGAAAGTGAAATCCCAAGTTTTTACAAGTCATAGAAAACATTTATGATATTAGGATCATTCATGCATCATTCCAGTATTATTTTATTGATCATTCATTTTTACAAACTGTAGCATATAACGAAGTTTTGTGTTTTGTTGTATTGATCATAGAGAAATGTAGTTGCATGATAATCACTTTATAGATTTCATAATGAATTTGTAGAGAAAAAATTAAAAACTAGGTTGGTTGAAATCCCATTTAGGTCTTGCAGGTTTAAATAATGTTCTAGTCCAAACTCTTGTTTTTCTTCTTATCATATGTAAATCAAAGACAAAGGAAAACATTTTGACCTGCTTCCTCCAGGATCAGAAATCAACACTAATTCGATTTTGATGCTTATCTTCATAGATGCATTGATCAGTATTCTTTGACTTTTGTAGTCAACTCAAAACATAAAAATGTTATAGGTGAGATTCACTTGAACATGTTGCTCATATCTTGTTCCCAATTTGATTATTTTCATAAGGATTGTATATGCAAACATATCACTGCCAGACTTAACTGGCATACTCTCCATAACAGTATTGCACTCAGATCTTCATTCACTTGCAGTTCAAATAAAGGACAGGGTAATATCAGTGCTGAGTTTGAGTTATTGTTGTCTTTCAGACCTTGACTTACTGCTGTGTATTCAAAGATGACACATAAACCATATTATATCCTTAATGTTTTTATAGCATGCTTTTGCATTGTTGGTTGTGGTGTGTATGCTTACTGGTCATACAATCATGGTCAAGCCAATGCCTTATTAATAGCTGTGATTCTGTAAGCAGTGTCCAAAGCTGAATAGTTCAAAACAATTTTTAAAAAACGTGAATGTGTTCATTCCAGTTTTATAAAATCAAATTTGAAGTCGGTATTTGATTTAGAAAAAGTATTTTGCATGCTTTGCAAACATACCTCCCTTTTCTTCACACATACACCTTTTTCTAGCTGTCAGCACAATGGAACCACTAAAAAAACACAGGAACTTAAATAAAATGTTAAGAACACTACCTATACTTTCATTTATCATTGAAATGATTTTGCTTTTAACTTGTCTTTATTGTCAAGGGGAAAAATGCTCCAATGTGACTACTTCAATAGATGTAATGATAATACCAAATTACTAATAACCAATAGTTGTAATAATTATACTCAATTTTTCCATCGATTTCACAAAACTAAAATTCAAATGGCTCCACCTTTTCTGATGCTCTGATTATCTTAAAGTTGATCCTGTATAAAGATGCAAATTTTGGGCTTAAAAAAAGCAACTAAATTACATTTTTCAAAAAGAGGGGGAACCAATTTTATAGCAGGAATTTTCCAGATATCTTAGCTACATCACACTCTGCTAGTCTTGCTGTCCACTAGAAATTGCAAAAAAAAAAAAAAAAAAAAAAAAAAAAAATTAAAGGTATACTATCTGTGCTTGAAAAACGCCCCAGTCATATTTTCTATGACTTCATTTCCTGCAAAGCTACTTCTCTTTCCCACTGCAGATCCTATAAATGCTAAACCTCCCCAAATTAAAGTTCCTGGCGAAATGTTTACCTTTGAAATGTACAGAAAGAAATGGTGGTCTAAGTGCATAACTGGTCAGTAATTTAAAACTTATTAAATAAGAAATGTAAAAAAAATATCAAATCCAAATGCAGGGACAGGTCGAGCAATATTTTGTGATTGAAGATAACACCTTTTTGTTGAGGATAATTTGATTTGGCAGGAAAATCTCCGACAGGATAACTTTTATAATAGGTGCACAATACAGTTATGGTAAAAAATTTGTGTAAAGATAAAAAATATCCTGATTTGAGTCCTCTTTTCTCAGAAAGAATTTTATTTTGACTGAATCCCCCCCCCCCCACATCACATTTTAAAAATCAATGTAACAATATCTTTTAAGAGCCAAAGTTAATCACTGACAATATCAAAACAATAATTTCTCATATTTACCAGATATTAACACAAATGGATGTGCAATTTGACACATAAATATTGCACAGTGCTTTTGCCATTAAACTACAGACAATAAATATGCAGGTGGAATGTTATAACGTGCATGTTAAACTTTCTTAGTTTCATATAGCATTAAATTATGCTTGCAACTTCTAAAGGAGCTGGTTATAATTCAAAACGTACACAGAGTTAAGATCTTTTGAATCATACTTCAATATAACAATTACAATATTGGTTAATTTTCACAAATTACTCTCCACCTGATACAAGTTAACACTTATGTATGCTTGGACTGCTTTATCAAGCACACCAGTTTTTTTCACAGGCAAAATTCATCCAGTCCTTTTCCTTGTGTTTTCCCCCTTTTTATACACTGAGATAATCATATATTTACATACATTTACCATAATAATTTGCCATATATAAAAAAAAAAAAACCATTCCTGTTTTATGTTTGTCTCCTCTCTCAAATCAATGCACATGTCTGCTGGGGTACTTTATAATAATATCTTATACTTGACAGCCCTGGGCACCCTGTTTATCACTAAGCGTCCATCATAACTAAGTGAAGCAAATACCCAGGGGTCAGCAGTTGACCATTCTGCAGCATACACACTGTCCTCATGCTCCTCATATGTAGATATTGTACCATCCTCCATTTTCTCTCTGTAAAAAATGAACAGATCTGAGACTTAGCTAAACACTTACATTTCTATGATTTAAATTCTATTCATAATTAAAATTTGAGAGTCTGATGATTTTTTTTTCACTAAAACATATAAACCTACAAACAACTTCTAATTATCATCTTATTTCAATTCAACTGCATAACTTACAAGGAAGTTTTCTTTGAAAACAGCTTCAATGAAAATTTGTTTCAGATATTGAGATGAGGCATCTTGATGTTTTGCTGTCGCATCTCAAATTGTTGATCATAAAGAAGCATTTTCTTGTATAACTCACTTAGTTTTGTCATCTTCTTCTCCATCACTCAGATCTTCATCCTCCACAAGATGACCATAAGGCTCTGATGATATGGAGATTGCATTAGTTAGCACCACACGACTGTCACTACTAGAGGTCAGCACCAGCTGGTCATGGAAATGATTGTATCTCACACTCCAGACCCTGAAAAACAGCAATGAGAGAACAAGATATCAAACCTAGGCATACATGTACCAGTAGATATCGGTACATGCACTTTACAATGTTTTCATAAAGTAGAAGTTAATAAACAAAAGTGACCAAGGTAGTTCAATTGTTTCAGTTATCAAATATTAAAACTGATTTTTTAATCGTTTCAGACCTTTTCTGGATTTCATTTTCAGAAAAAAAAAAGACTTTTACAAATTCATCGTTCTGCTTCAATCCCCTGCAAATTCAGGCATGACTCTTACCAATGTGAATGATCTGATAAAACCTTGAGGGGTTCATTTGAATTCCTTATGTCCCAGAACTTTGTCTTACAGTCATCCCCACAGGTAGCAAGGTAATACTGCTTGTTTGGGTTAAAGTCCAGCTCTCTCACTAGTTGACTGTGAGCATTCTCTATTGTATACACCTGCCTTTAAATAAAAAAATATACGCAAACACTTCAAAATCATTTAAGCCTATTCATAATAGGAAACAGGATATCCAAATACAAGATTATCATATCCTTTATAATATTTTCAAATATCCAGAAATTGTCAATTATTGTTGAGTTAAACACAATAGTGACAATACTGTTGCTGCAAAATAAACAACACACTGAAAATAACATGCCCTGGTCAATATTTCTCATAACCAGCATGTTGCACTCACTTGTTGCTCCTCAGATCCCATCCACGTATACTAGTGTCATTGGAAGTGGCAATCTGAGAACAGTTGTGGTGAGGATTCCATCTGCCCGATGTGAACTTGGGCTGCCCTTTACCTTCTAATGCTATTGAACTGGAAAGCTGAAAACCCAAGAAAATAAGTAAAATACTGGTGCTCTACTCTGGCTTGCAGATGTTCTAATTGATTTTACCTGTCACATCTGATTAAGGTCCGCGGTTTGAGTAGACTGTAAGCTTCCATCCACTTACACATGTATCAAGACTATGTGGCAAAATCTGAGGCTCATGGTAAGCATTTTACAGATAAGATATCACTAAATTAAGAAAATGAAAATTTCAAATTGTCAGGTAGTGAGTTTGGCAACAGGAAGTAGCACTTGCTGAATCCAAAGGTTAGTGATGGTGTGCAATTTATTGATATGACTGTAAAAGCCTTACCGTGGCTCTGCTACTGCTGGTTTCTAAGTCCCACATCAGGATATGACTGTCCACAATGGACAGGATGGTGTTGCCCTCTCCTGACGGATGCCATAATATACTAAAGAAAAAAAAACAAATAATAAACCATATCAGTTCAGTGAACTATGAAGAGAGTCACGATATAAAGCAAGGTATTAGCTAGTAATCATTAAAAAATCATTTAAACAAGGCTCCAATTATTCTGTATATCAGTTACTCACCCTTTCATTTCTCCATAGTCTGTAGTATCTAGCTTACAAAGTAATTCCAGTTCCTTGTGGGTTGGTGAGCTATCTTCTCCCAGACTGGCATCAAACTCAGGAATACGCCATAATGCAGCTTCCATCTCAGCCTTGGCATCTGATGCTACGTGAAATTCAAACAAATGTGGTAAGGGTTATACCTATTATATGGTTATAAGTTATTGATTTACATTTATTGTGCAAAAAAAAAAAAAAAATGCTGATAAAAGATGGTGCATAAATATGCCTGTATACCTTTTGCGTTAACATTCAGTTGTAAGTCAGAGATTATATCATAAATTTCAATCTTAGATAACTTCATTAGGTAAAACCTTTCATCTGTTCTTTAGAATTACCTCAGTCAGCCCAATTTGTTTCAGCAATGCACTGATTATATGATAAGTACAAAGTAAGGTTGCCCATAAAGTATATAATACCTACTTTTATTGTAGCAAGTGGCAAAGATGTTCTTGTCTGTTGATGAAGCACTTATGTGCCAAATTTCACCCTCTTTGTGGAGAAAAACATTTTTATTGATCATATTATTTTCATCATCAAAATCAATCTGATGGACCTGAAAATAAATCAAAACATAAATTTTTTTTTCATCATATCAACATCTTTTAGATTATTTCGATGCAGGCAGTGTACATGTACATGTATACTAGTACTAGTACAACTGAACAATGTGCAGGAGTTCCATTTATGTGTGTATATGTGCATTTGAGCAGTGTGCATGTGTGTGTGTGTGTGTGTGTGTGTGTGTGTGTGTGTGTGAGAGAGAGAGAGAGAAGAGTGGGGGGGGGGGGAGGATAGAGTAGAGAGGGGGGAGTGAGGAACGGATGCATTTACCTGGTTCTCAAACTTAAGTGACTGTGTGCCAACCAGAAAGCGTATCTCATCTGTTTCTGCCGTTTGAGCTGTCAAAGCACGGGCCTGAAGATTAAGTGCCAATAAAATTTGTATCATTATTATGTTAATTACATACAATGGATATTGTTATAGTTTTTTTACTTACTACATGTACTAGTACTAAACTCTTAGGGGGAGTGTGTCATTTTTTTAATGTAAAGCTACAATAATCTTGATGTTTTCGGCTACAAAATATTTGCAGACGGAACTGCCACAATAATCGATTATCAAAAAATTTATTTTATGCGTAAACCTTACCTGAAACTCAAGCCCATATATAACCGGTGCGTCGTCCTCCATTTTTCACGACAACCTACCAGTACCTACTTCCAATACAACAAGAAAGGTACCCATTGACGGCACAGTGCAAAAGTTGAGGGGAGAAGCCCTTGATAAATCATGTTATTTTGTTTGGTTCAAACATTTCTATAGATAGTGTGTAGTAGGTATAATCAAGTGTTTTTAATTGGTAATGGAGGAAGCAGGAGAAGAATCTGCATCGGCAGCGATGGAGCCAGTCAGTGACAACCCAGACATTCATGCAGAGCTCCCTGCCAGCACAGAGACGGTCGAGGTTAATCCAATGGCTCGCACATCTAGCACAGAATCAAGCCACACAACCACTGGAAACTTAGATAGTGTAGATCTTCTGTCTCCAGATGTAGAAGAGGTGGATATCCTTGGGTCTGGGGTGGAGGAGGGAGACAACAATTCAATGAAAATGAAAGAAGAAATGCTTTCAGAGCAAGTTGACCAAGGACTGGACACTGCTAATGATGGTCCCTTGTCGGGGAAATCAGCTCTTGCGCAGAGTATGGAGGAGCTGTCCTTGGATCAGTCTGCTGTTGAACCAGAGCCAGAACTGACAGAGGACCAGACTGCAGGGACAGAGATATCAGAAAACGACAAAGACTCTGCTCCATCTCTTGCACAGTACTTTGCTCACTCCCAGGATAATTCTGGTGCCGAGTTTTTTGACTCTCTTCCTCCAACAAGTGCTGATGATAGCGGGTTCATTCCAGATACTTCAGAGAAAACCCAAGTTGAAAATGGAGGAGAGGATACTGTAAACACTGGAAAGTTGGAGTCTAGGGTTGGGAAGAGAGAACAAGTCCTTACAGAAATAGGGGCTTCAAAAGAGGCAACACATGAGGAGAAGCCTAAAGTAGACCAAGAAGTGAGTTCATTTGAAAGAATGCAGTTTTTGATATTAGGCAGAGGCGTTTGACTTAAGTTTGTATTTCTCTTGTAGATATTAAAAATGACATTGCATTTTTAAATATATCATATTATTATAAAATTTTATTTCTTTGTAATTTTAATTTAAATTTGAAAATTACATTAATTGAATGAAATAAACCTGGCAAACATTTTGTCCATTTCAGATTCCTGGTGTTCCTTTGCCTGCTGTGCCACAATCCACATCAGTTGCTGCCACAACTGCAACAGAAATAACAGTTGATACCACAACTACCACAACACCCACAACAACAACAACAACACAGTTCCCTCTACCTACCACACCCCCTTTACCCCAGTTTGAACAGACCACCCCACCACTACCTATGGCTGCTCCCACTGATGACATGTTTTCTGTTGGAATGGATAATGTAGACAGGAGTTATGATGCATGGATTCCGTCAGAGGCTACAAGACAGGTGCTGATAGCTAAGGTGACCAGTGCCCCGGGGACATTCTTCCCCAGTGCAGAGCAGTTGACTTGCCCAGGACTGTTGTATGATGACTTGCAGGTACACACATTGATGGTGATAATTTTGAATTTCCTGAAAATAGTACTTTAAGCCTGAACCCATCTTCAGGTGTTTTAATATTATAACAGATATCAGAATACACATAGTAGCAGTTATGCAAAGCTTGGTAATATTTAGATTGGGAAAAGCTAATGATTGCACTCAGTTACTCTATCATGAAGAGATGGGTATTGTAATTATTGTATTTGATCAAGTCGATGACTTCATATATCTCAGGGTGATCCAGTGAGGGACCTGGTATACAGATATATGGGTGATGTAGAAGCCAGCAAGAGGCAGACTCTCACAGCAGACAGTGTGCCACCTAATGATGAGGGTCTCAGACAGCTTATTGTAAGATTTTGTTTAGTCGTGTGTGTGTGTGTGTGTGTGTGTGTGTGTGTGTGTGTGTGTGTGTGTGTGTGTGTGTGTGTGTGTGTGTGTGTGTGTGTGTGTGTGTGTGTGTGTGTGTGTGTGTG